CGCTGAATCAATGCCATGCGGACCGATAACATCTATCCATACCGATGCATCACGCCCAACGCGCGCGTTGAAATCACCCAGCAGAAATAGTCGGTCGCTCCTCGGCACAGACCGTATCACGGAGGATAGCTGAGTGTAGAATTGATCACGCGTGTCATCAGGATAACACATGGTCGGACCGTACGTGCTTATAAAAGTGGCAAACCTACCTCTTCCGAGTCGTAGGCGAACAGTCATCAGTCGCGCGCTGATGCCCGTTGGTTCACCCACCAGCTGGCCATGGAGGCGATCGGATATTGCAAATCCGACCCCATGACCACGTGGTGCTGAGGCGGCGTTGCCCACCCAGTAGAATGTGTAGCCAGCACCTGCTTCATGCAACTTACCTTGCTCAGCGAGCCGAGTTTCACTGAGCGCCGCAATATCGATGTGGTAGCGCACCAGCTCCATCGCGACCAGTGCAATGCGTCGCTCCGGGCGCTCGCTGGAGTTCCGGTCCAGTAGTGTGCGCACGTTCCAGCACCCGATGCTGAGTGCTTTGCGCGCAGGCATACGATTGCATTGGTGGGCAATCGCACGCGAAATGGTCGTTGTGCTTCGGAGGTTTGCTTGAAGGACTCCGCCCGGAGCCTTTGGCTCAATAGCCTGACCCACAAGGCAGTGGGGAGCAGATCCAGCTCGGGCATGTGATTGCAGAGACAGATTGGGATCTGCTTGACGGCCCTCACACGCAGCCTTGGAGGAACTGGAACAGTTTATATATGTTTTGCGGCCGTAATAGGATACACCTGCGACCACGGCCAGACGCAGGTGGGTTTTGGCGGGTTTACACCAATTTGACTAGGGGCTATCTGGCTTGAGGCGGGCAGTAGCAAACCATTGAACACCCGGAGGTGCCCTCATACCGTCAGAGACAATGCGTGGTCCTCGTGCTCTACGCCAATCGAGCTGTGAGCTTATAACCCGTAGACCTGTTGTCTCCCATAGCTAGGTTTTACGGGAAGAGGGCCATCGACCACTTCCTAACCTCCGAAGAGGATGGACTAGGATACTGGCAGGGTGCCCACTCCTGACAGGAGAAGGACTCGGGTCCTCAGCCAAAGCCTTCGATTAAATGAACACCCGAAAGGCAGCGGGTTTAGCACATGGTCAGTTCACTGACTCATGCGGATTGGTGTCCTGGATCTTAGCAGGGAGAAGGGTGAAACCCAACTCCCACCCAGCGGTCGCCACGAGGAGGCGCCCAGGACATGAGCAAATGGCACAACAGTAGCAGCAGTAGGTAGACTATCTGTCAGGATCTAGCCACCACCAGCCTCAGCGCACCATAGGCTCTCCCGCCGGCATATATATATATATATATATATATATATATATATATATATATGTATACAGATATATATATGTATATGGTTTGCAGTAGTCCATATATCAGACTTAGATCCATCTAAAAAGCATGGAATGAATGTGTATAATTTATCCAAAGATTAAAAGAAAAAGATACAAAGAGGATTGTTTAACACGCCGTTCTGTTATTGTCAATTTGGGGATTTCGGTGTTGACCATCAGAATCAATCCAATGACTAATGCATGCCTTCTATAGTCGACGATTACGCGCCATGTTTTAGGAGTCTCCAACAACGATGTTCTTCACCTCGGATTCCCCATCCAGGAAGAAGTATGGAGCCGATAACAGCGAGACTGCAAGTCAACGCCTGGACGTATTGTTGCCATGTGGTAGGTTGGCCTCCGCGTGATTTCTTCCAGTGCGGCCCTACGCGAGCGAATAAAGTGCGCCGTGGTAAATGCTCGCACGGCGGACGTAGGAGGTGACATAATCACCTCAGTTGGTGCAGCGATATTAGGTTGTAAAGAGCTAGACCTGTACAACCTAGGACGCGACGTTTAACATCGACGTCGGCCTGTAGCCTAGAGGTAACGAGTTTGTCACGCAATCTTGCGGCGCAGGTTCGAGTCGGAGTAGGGATGGGCGTCCTCGTGGTATATTCAACGCGCGTGCGACTGATGGTGGTCACACGGCGGCGAAGCGCCGTTACGGCGTACAGCTGACATATTTTTCATTTTTTTAACACCGACGTTGTTAATGTGGTGTTACCACCATACACGAGCTATCCTGCGCAGACAACCGTTGTCAAAGGCCGAAATACGAAGCAAATCATTTACGTGGATCGGCCAAGACTCACTTCCTTATAACAGGACCGCGCGAACACAGCCATCGTACACTTTGCCCTTTACCAAATATGAAACGTCATGACAACGCCACGTCTTAGATCAGCGAAACCTAATCGGGTTTTGGCAATACGGAGCGAGATTTCTCTTCCAATAGTGTCATCAGAGAAAACGCAGCTCCAAAGGTAGATGAAACTATCTACTTATTCAAGCGGCACGCCTTCAAGAATCAGCACGAGGACAGGTGGATGTCAGTCCTGGAGTAGGACCTTACATTTCGGTGGTATGAAGATCATGCCATACTTGGTAGGTCCAATCATCAAGCGGATTAGAACGATCTGCATGATCTGTGTGTAGTCAGCGAGCAAAGCAATATCGTCGGCATGGTCCAAGTCAGTCGTGTGGTTGCCTGGAAGAAACCTTAAGCAAACCCTGGAGAGCTTCAAGAGCGCTCACTAAGACATATTCAATCGCAAAGTTGAAGCGAAACAGGGATATATGGGGCGTCCCTGTCGCACACTGTTAGTGACGGCGAAAGGTAAAGACAGTTTAAAGTAAGTCCTCACTCTGCCAGAGACTGTTGTATTTAGCTCGAAGTATGGCGATATCCTTTTCGGGACCCCTTTCATTTTGCAGAAAACGTCATGGTGCAGGTCGGATGTTCAAAAAGGAGACAATGGTAGGTTGGTGATAAAGGTGGCGCTGTTAGAGAAGTTAGTGAAGAGCAAACATGCCGTTCACACCCCCGACGGGAAATTAACCTGTTCTTTACGAGAGCGTAGTTCCCGAATCGGTGTTAGACTGCGCAGCATATTGGATGTTATCAATTTGGAGGCGACGGTTATTAGACTGATTCCGCCGGACAGCGTGTCTTAGTAAGAGACTATCGCGCGGGAAACCCGCAATGGGTGGTAGGATCGATACGGAGAAATATTGGACAGGTGCTATATGAGGTTAATGTGGGTAATTTGATTTGGACCAGGCATTCCAATCAGCTGCGACCAACTAGCATCCCTGCGGGCACAAGCGCTCGGTTACTACCGTTAGATATTCTACTAGAGAGTTTCGACATGCCATCTAATCCCCAAAGCAATTCGGATGCATCCCGCACAGAAGTCTCAGAGGAATCGAAGGTCCAGACCCGGCGCTGTACTGATCGACTACGGAGACCTGTCGTAAGAATGCAGTTGGATCCAAAAATGAAGTCTTATGTCAACTTTTGCGGGGGAAGGTGTTAATGGGACGGAAGCAGCCAATGAGAGCGTTTTACGCTGAGGGCTATTGATTTGGTCAGAAATTGAATGTACCGTTAGTTTGGACGTTAAGCAAAATATACGTGCCAGCCGTACGCCGGTCTCCTGCTTTGGGAAGTCGGGCTGATCAGAGTGCACGCTAGCAGCAGGTCATCGGTAGGTCAGCCGAAACCATAACAAGTGGTCTATGCGACTACGTAGATTAGTGATCGATGGACCATCAACCACAAAAGTAGCTTCAGTGACGCCAAGTTTTGTGTCCAGTGGTCCGCGTGGTGCCAGCTGCGTTGTTAGGGTTCACCTCGTTCAAGCAAATGGTTCGGCAGCAATGTGCCAGGACGTTGCGGGTTTTCACCTGGTAAGCGTTCTACCTATGAAATGCCACATGTCCGTTCAACAGAAAGGTGGTGTGGCTGATGTGAATCGCGAGTAAATAAAGACGCTACCCATTCTTTTGTTCTGGTGGAGAACTACACTACAGTAAGCTGCTGCAGAGGTTTCGAAACCAAGTGAGGTGACATGGTGCGGTGATGTGCATTAGGCAATTCTGCCGAATGGGTCACCCGTCTGTGAGCAACGAGAGGACGAGTGCTGAAACTAACATCTTCGATTGGCGCCTCGAAACCTTTGCACAGTTTCCTCGCGGTTTTGTTCTGGGATTAGCCTAAAATCGTTCTCGAGCTCACGCTTCAGGATGTAAAGGCTGAAAAGGCAGATAGTCTTATCTATCGCGGAAAGCTGTCCCTGCTGATAGTGATATCTCATTGCATCACCAAAAGGCGGTCGGGAATTGTCAATCTCAGCTACCTGTGGTATTGTTGGAGTGTCTCCATTTCGCTAAAGAACCGGGTTTACAACGCCATTTCGGTTGTTGTTTTATACTAATAAGTCCAGACCAATTAGCGTGGATGACATGCGCCAACTTTCGGTCAGCGGCAGTGGGCGCTTGAGGAGAATTACCCGAAGCTGCTGGTAAAACTAAGCTAACAACAATGAAGTTAGACGTCACGTCATGAAAAATGCGAGTATTCCTTAGAACATGTGTGAACAACGAGCGTGTTCGACTACTTGTTTACGGCCCAGGAAGAAGTGAGCCCTTCAACAACGTTGTCTCATGCACCAGGCTCCAATTGCTCGGTCACGTGCTGCGCAAGCCAGCACATAGACTCCCGCGACGCGCGTTGTTGGCGCGCCGCGGGTGTGGATGGAAGAAGAGGTGAGGTGGTCAAACAATGACTTGATCGAGAGGAATGAAGGCCCTCACTTAGAAGCTGGCCTTGGTTCGAGCGTCCCGACTCCCTGGTTGGTGTTTGAAAGGCGATGAACACGCTTGGCTAGACACATCAGCTGACATGGCTAGGAGCCGACCTCAATGGCGTTTGTGCTGTGAATTTCTTTGTTCATCTCCCTCCCGCTTAGCCATTGCTGCAACCACGATCTCATTTATTAGGCATAATATAACTATTTTTTGAGGCAAAAAGCCAGTTGTTATTTATTTATGTTTACTCGTTACGGGTGGTTCAGCCGGCGTGCCTTTGTTCATGTTTTCGTTTTTTTCCTGATGTATTGCGGCACAATAGCTGAGCTGGTGCCTCTGCATCGTACTATCCGACAGATCCATGACGAGAGACCGTATCACAACAGAGAACATCATGAATGAACTCGTTTGCAATTCTCTTATTCCTTCACGCAGCACACTAAGTGTGTCTGTTGATAGCACCAAACTGAGCACACCGCGATTCGCCTGTGGCGACATCCGCGCCTACATTGAGCAGTTAAGGTTTTCGTGTCATCCTAAAAAGGACAGTTTTCTAACATCCCTAATACCGTTTGGGGGACAAGGTACATTATACATTTGTATATGTCTACCCGATCTATAAAGTTAGGGGCATTCATGAGTTAACGGAAGCTCGCTATTATAGAGCCTATAGACAAGAAGCCACACAGCGACTTCCTCAAAAATAATGGAAATAATTGTGAGAGAAAACGGTTAAAGCGCTTGTAAAATACAGAATTTGATGAACCCAGCCCAACATAAGTTCTTGCAGAAAAGCTCGTACCAAGCCAGTTAGCTCACATTTCTAAATGAGTTGACAAGCTCTATTAACAATGACATAGCAGCCATTATTCTCTTTATTAAAATGCAGAAGGCGTTTGACAGATTGCCACATGACAGTCGCTTGGGAAGGTTAAAGTTTCGGAAGTAACGATCCTTTGCAACCATAGTTTAAATCTCATCTCACAGGACGCACGCTACAGGTACATACAGAGTATATTAGATCTCTATATTTCAAAAATGGTGCAATTCACGTATTGCGTCCCTTGTCCCTCTCTAAATGATACAACAAGACAACGCACCAGCCAGCGCACTTTGATAGACATACAGAGCATCGGGCATCGAAAACCTACACGTGTCTATGCGCCCACAGCCGCGCCACCGGAGTCTGCATAATGCACCCGTCGGTGCCCAAACATCTGCTCCAAATCGAGTGATAGTTGTGGGCGCAGCCTCTCCAGAGGTAACGGATCGTGATGTAGTCGATTTGTGTCCATTGCTGGTGAACGCTGCAGCAACCTTCTGCGAGTGCTGTGTAAGAAGTTAGTGTTTGCGAGAAAGGTTTAACAACCACTTACTGTAATCATTACGGGAGCCAAGACAGTGTTGGCCGCCCATAGGTAGCTTATCAGCGGCTAATTTGCAAAACTGCATGTTCAGATCACCAGCCAAAACTAAACCAAGGAAAAAAGAGCTTATTCAGTTGACGATAGAAGACATCTTCTACAAAGTCAGTGGAATGACAAACAGACACCTATTGGCCTCACGCGACTTCGAAGGTTTGAATGACCAAACCAATCAGATGGCGCATATCCATCCAGCTACTGGCTGGGAACTAGTCTACCAGAGAAGATTCAATCTTGGGGCACAGTGCAACGTCCATACCGGGATGACGGCCACTTGAAGTTGCATTATCTCCGAATAGAAGTAGTGATAAAACCCAGCCAGTGTCCCATGAAGGGGATCGTAGAGTGAGCAAACAGCTCGAGACATACATGTGAATCTCCGATAAGCATCAGATACCGATCGATAGGGTCTCTAATGTTTGGGAAAGTGCTGTCTGTTGACCGATTTGTAGCAAAATGCGTACGTCAAGTTGAGCCAGTCTTAGCAAGGATCGAGGGCACCGAATAGAAGCCGGATGAATTTGGGTTGTCCGCGTGGTTGGATATGAACTTGTCGACTGGGAAGAAGCGAAGCTCCGCAGCTGCCACATATCGTCTTGTCACCATGTTTTCCAAATTAAAGAAGACTATTTTGAATTTCATGAATAAGTAATCATTAACCGGTTTTCGTTGATTCATCAACAGGCTAAGTACGCAAATGTTTACCTATTATTGCGTTTCATAGGCGAGAACACAAACACCCTTTTTAGCAGAAAACTCAAAAGGAACCCGTACTTCGCGGGTCAGCTACGAATATTCTTCGCCTCTACACCGGTGCTAACTCTACAACTGAAGGATAGATTGTCTGTGGATGCCACCTTTGGAGTATAACAATTTGCTTGCTCCTGTGGAACAAGTTACATAGGCCGCACCACAAGACGTTTAGCCGAACGTGTGAAAGAGCATCACCCAGCGTAGTTGGGTCGGGGGTAAACATAACCTGCACCACTGCGATTGTCGAACACATGGCCGATACTAATCACTCGGTTGTCATCACAAAGGCTTTCCGCCCGATCTATCGCGTGAGGGGAGTCGCTCCAAACTGATCAAGTGCCGCATACTTGCAATGGCAGAGGCGATCGCCATCCGTCTTAACCACTCCCTCTCTATGTGTGCACAAACAATTTGTGAGGAATTTGAAACAATTAGTTCCCTTGAGCAATTTAAACATCGTTGTGAGGACTCTGGCTCTCCACTGGCCGTCTGTCGTGCACCCAACGCTTGATGTGACGGTAACAATCGTGTGAACAAGTCGAAACACAGCTGTCACGTCAATTTTCTACCACATTCTTAATACGTGCTTTAACCTGTTCAATGTCAGCTATTTAAATGTGTTTTAGCCTGACGATGAATCACCGAAAACGAGCTTGTTTACTATACTGGCTTCTCATGAGTGTCACAGGGATTATTCACCAGTTGAAACTAACCGGTTTATTATCTGTAAGCTGTTGCCTAGTGCAGTAAAACGTAGTGGTTTGGACTCGATCGCAAGGTATTGATGGGTTATATGTAACACAACACAACCGACAGTGGGACTGCTCCAGAGCACTTGGCTGCCAATTGGATAGGTTAATAAGTAAAGCAGCTGAGATCATTGGAGGGGTTATTTCGCGGCACTCGTTGTGTGATGGATGGGCTACCACGCGCGCAAACATATGCGTAGTCGGCCGTGGGATGCAGCGCTGGAAGCGGATACACCTAACCTGAGATCATTCTTAGTAGTGTAGTGAAGGACATAGGAAGCTAGAGACATACAAAAAGCAAATACTTACTTGCCGCCCTGAACATTCTGGTATATTTTCCGAGCAGTTTCGATGAACACATCGTCTACGTTTGCGCCCCTAAATAGAGGATAAAGAAAGAAGAAACAATAAATTAGATAAGAAACCGAAAGATGCGCTCTATACTTTATACAGAGAGCAGCAAGACAAACCGCATCGCAGGGAGAATAATTGTAATCTGTGGATGAACGAATACGCAGCGACCGTAGGCAAGGTCCGGGAGATAGCCGAGGGAGTAAGGAGTCTGACCTGTGATCCACACGCAGCTCAATTCGAAGACATGTGAGTTGCAAGTCAGACGCTTAAACCCAGCGGTGACCGGCAGGTCTTCTGGTATCTATTGACTAAAATTGCGGATGCAACACTCTAACTGGCCAGGGGGACCACAAAGTACGGATCAAGGAATGGCGAAAGTACACAAACACTCCCCCCGGTGCTGAAATCCAAATTATTTGAGCCGGTGTCGAAGCATAAGGCAATCTGTACCAGTTAGTTTCGAAGTGTTTAAACAGAGACTGACCACGACCTCAAGTGATCTCTCATCCGCGTGCTCTAAGTTTGTCAGTCGATGACTTGGAAGAGATTCAGGATATTCATTTATGATCAATTCACTCACAAAGCTAAGGAAGAAAGGGGGTGTAAAAAATCCCTGGTGAAACACGCCGTGAAGAATTTGGAAAACAGTTTCCCGTAAGCTCTAACTCACCCACAGGATTCGTAGTAGGAGAATTCAAAGTAGAAGAATTTCCACTCCACTTCCCAAAAGGATAAGCAAGCTGGTACAACCAAGGAAAATCACCATGGGCGCGCATGGTGTTGCTCCAGCATTTGATGAAGAGTAAATTTATGTTGAATACATCCTCGACCATGGCAAAATGACCCGTATCTTCCACCGACTAGGTTCAGGATCAGTGAGATGACGCATTACAACGCCTATAATAGATCCGGATGCGGTGGTGCTAATGTTAACACTGAGGATTTTCGAACGGAGGATGTGCAAGCGCCACTATGAAACTACGTCCTTAATGTTAAATATTGCAGCGAGTAGAGTGGCTAGAACAGATGTCACTGAATCGTCTCTATGACGGAAAGCACCACAAACATACCTTGTAATGCGGAGGTGGCGTGTTTGAGCCTGCGTAGGCGACCGGGCGACCTTATCAGTATCTTTAGCCCACACGTGACTGGTAGCGACTGCGAGATAGCGAAGCGTCGGTGCTACATACCGGCGTACTTCTGATGCCTTTGCATTAGTGATTAAGTTATATATATATATATATATATATATATATATATATATATATATATATATATATATATATATATATATATATATATATATATATATATATATATATATATATATATATATATATATTATACATACGTCCCCATGCTGTGGCTGATGTTGCATTCATGATGCTTCTTCACCGCAGTTGGGCTAAACCAACTTACACTTAAACTAGGTCTTTTTAATGTGGATAAAATTCATTACATTTATTTGGTTTGTTCTGCGTACTTGATAATCTTCTCCCAACTTGCACACGTCGCTCATGCAAATTGTGGTAAACTTGCGTAATTGTATCGCGTGGTATTTTTTAAATAACTCGGACATTTTGTACTTAGCACGGATTCACTTATAACCAATTTCTTCTATATGCTTATTTAGCGAGTATTTTTGTCGTCATATGCGTTTACTTTATTCGATATCGGCATTTTGAGTGATTGGCTGTTGTTTGACATCCCAGGTGTGGCTGCGCTTGATGTGCATGTTGACAAGGTGCCTACCTATCTCTTACCCACTACCTCGTCCATCTGGCTCCAGGAGACAGTTGGTCGTTGCTGGAGGGGACGGGGTGCACGGTCCTTGTGGTCATGCTAGGCTCGAAGAGTGGTTCCATGCAGTCAGTGTGGAGCGGACTACGGTCCAGCCACCACCTTGTGTGCACTTGATTCCACAAATACAGCATGCTTGTGTTTGCCTGTGAAGGAGTGCAGGCCGGCTCCATCGATGAAACGTGGCTCCCATCCACATGCCTTCCGGTTTTATTCCTTCGGGTTTACACTGGGTATAGGGTGTGTGGATGGAGCTGTGGGTGTTGCAGCGCAAGCCATCCATGGTCCCTCTGTAGGCGCAGGCGTCCTGTGGCTGGCCACAGTGACAGGCAAATCCGAAACCGGATGCCGCCAACCATATATATTAAACACCATACCAATTACAATGTAATTGGCTGAGTGCCACAATATAAGAAAAAAGGATAGCGTGAAAGGGAGAACAACTGTTAGGGTAGAAGAGTCTTACAGCAAGTGCGCCATTGCGTACGGTCCTTGGCCATATCCTCCAGCGTTTGCAACCAGGTGTGCTCGGGGTCCTTTGGTCCCCAACCCGGGAGTCGGGAAGGCCCGACAACAGCCAGCTATAAGGTTTGCGTCTTAACACATTGGATCCAAGTTTTACGTTGCCCTCTTTTTCGTCACTTTCAAGCCACGCCTGTGCTCGTAAATAGGGCTCGTCGTGCTAACCGCTGGGTAGGCATGCAAAGCACATGGCCAAGCTAGCGAAACCCTTGTAGTGAGATGATGTTATCGATCGATCGGCGGATCTCGTTAGATCTGAAGACTCGCCGACGGATTTCCTCGTTACTGATGTGATGCTGTCATCGAACACCAGCAATGCTTCGCAGGCAGTGGTGATCGAAGACTGATATCCGTTGAACATCGCTTTTGCGAACGGACCAAGTCTCCCAGCAGAATCGTTCGTATCGTATTGAGAGCAAGGCTGAGATCAGGACGAAGATTAGCGAAAGCGACTCTAACCTTGGAGACAGGCAGAGAGATCTCATCTGTCAAACTGCCAATACTAAGACAACCCCAAGATAAATGAATTTGTCGACCACTTCCAACGGATACTCTGAAAGAGTGAGAGAAGGACATGCGCTTGGCCAGTCCTGTAATAGGACTTTACACTTGGAAGGGGCAAAGCTCAACCTAAATTGGGCGGCGGACATCTCCAGTCTGAGCAGCATATGCTGGACGGCTTGGGAGGACTCGCAAATCACAGCGATGTCATCGGCGTACTCTAAGTCCCGAAGGCGGTCACCAGGGAGCAGTTCGACAACGCAAGACTCATAGTTATCCAGGGCAGTACCCACGATCTCGTCCATGGCGAATTTGATTAAGAATGGAGAGGCTGGGCAACCCTGTCTAACATCGCTAGTGATACTGAAAGAAGGCGAAATTTCTCCGTATGCTTGCATGCGGCCCGAAGTTTGATGGTAAATAGCAGGGAGAATGTTGATGTACTTTCCCTCTTCAGTAAGTAGTCCCAAAGAGCCACTCTGTCCACAGAGTCAAAAGCGGCTCGAATATCCAAGAATGACTATAGTTGGTTGACTGAAGGTATGGCGATGTTCAAGTATCTGGCGGATAGTAAATATGTGATCGACGCAACCGTGACTCGGGCGAAATCCAGCTTGTTGTTCACGCAGGTGCTGTTCCTGTACGCAACCGAACCTTCGTAAGAGTAGGGCAGTGAACAGTTTGGATGCGACACAAATGAGAATGATGCCACCATGATTGGAGCAAATGGTCCGGTCTCCCTTTTTGTAAATAGGCACAACATTCACTAAATTCCAGTCGGGTGGAATGGTTTCAGTAGTCCAAATCTGATGGAATAGAGATGTCAGTTCGCGAGTGAAAGCAGGACCTCCGTATTTGAAGAGAACAGGAGGAAGTTCATCTGGACCAGGTGACTTATAGCGCTTTAGTAAGCGAAGCTCACTGGAAACCTCAGCCTCTGTCGGTGGAGAAACATCCACGTACCAGGGGGGGCACTGTGAAGCCCGGAAGATAGACTCGGTTGCGCTGCTGGCCAGTTAAATTGATCTTCAAAGTGCTCTGCCCATCGTACCAGACGACAGTGAATTAGTTCACCGTCATTTTCACGCAAAACCTCACTCACTGTTGGTCTTCTGCCTCCTGTGGAGCGAATAAGTTGGAAGAGTTTGCGGGAGTTTCCTGATGAGGCTGCCCGCTCCATCTCAACGAGGCGCTGTATCGACCAAACCTCGCGATCCTTCCTGAGGAGCTGTCTGAGCTCAACACCTGTGGTTCTGCGTAGTGCGTTGTACTCAACTCCGGCGGGAATTGTTCGACGACTTTCCATTAATTGGAGAGGTTGTGCGGAGATCCAATGAGTAACAGCTCGTCTAGTGAAGCCACAGACCAGGGTAGCGGACTTTCGTAAGGCGCTCTGGATCTGCACCCAATGTGTCTCAACATCGGAGGATAGAGAACGTAGGTTAAAGGCTAATGTGTTCTGAAATGCGTCGAGAACATTTGGAACGGCGAGCTTGTCTGTGTCAGACCGTTTCCGGCGGCGCTGTTAGGTGACTCCAAAGCGCAGAACGAACTTAGCACACACGAGCGCATGATGCGAAGTCAGGTAAGTGTTCCATATTGACTTGCAGTCCGTTATGCAGCCATGCCAACCGTAACTAACAGTGATGTGATCAATTTGCGTCCAAGATTGACCAGGCGCCGAAGGTCGCCAGGTGGCTCGTTGGCATAAGGAACGTCGGAAATTGGTGCTGGAGAGGAACAAGCCGTGGTCGGCGCACAGTTGCAGGAGTCGATCGCCGTTGTCCGTCCTGCGAGTACCGTGGCAGTGTTGACCCCCAAGTTCGCACTCATGAACCTCTAGTCTACGGACCTGCGCATTTAGGTTACCAGCGGCGTTTCTTGCGGAGGAGGTTGGTGAGTTGGCGGTAGAAATCGTCTTTAGTATCGTCCGGGCTGCAGTCCGTTGGAGCGTACGGCGCCACAATGAATAATCAGCGTCTACTGGTCCCGTGGCTGGAAGATCGCACTGATTTTTCGAAGCGGACTGCACAGACGATTGTTGGCCGGGAACCAGTCAATGAGCGCTGCTTCAGCACGCGCACTTAACGCAACTCCTACGCCGGCGAAACCAGAGGCTGCCGCTGTCGCATCTCCAGATAAGCGCAAGGTGAATGTGCGATTGGAACTTGGGGATGGTGAGAGCAATCGCAGCGTTGTGC